TATTATTTAAGGTTAAATGCAATAGGACTGTATTTCTGTACTCCTTGTGTGCTCTTGTTAGCATGTAGGCCTCACTACTAACAATTTTGTATCTATCATCAACAAAAAACCTCTGAGCTGTTGGTAAAGGTTGAAATTACCTTCGGGGTTTCTGGTGAAGATGTTGTCTGTCAGTTGGCTTACTTCTACCTCTTCAATTTTGACACCATCTAAAGAACTTTTTATTCTTGAAATTTCAACCCTCTGGCAATATCCTCAAATATTTCCTGTTGTGGGTGTGTTTAGAAAGCAACATGTTTTTTTTTTTCCTACTGTTGATATTCACAATAATAATAGAAAAATGAATAGGATATTTTCTCCTGGAAACAGTCCACCTCTTGAATCAGTGTGTTTAATACTTTATTGTATCACTTGATGGCACAGTGGTATTTTAATTAAGCATGCACTTGAATAATACATCTTTGGCCAATGGCCAGCCAAGGGGCAGATATTTGGTCTAATTTCAAATGACTATTTGAAACAAATACCCAAGTTATTTTAGGATGTACCGACAACAAACCAGGTTGCAGGATACTTGTTATTCAGCAGGACTGAAGCACAGTGTTACAGGAACTGTTCAAATATGAAACCAATCATAACAATCTAACATACTCCATTTATATGCCCAGTTTTGCTGCAAATTTGAAACTGATACAACCATAAACCCCCTAAATTGAGTGTTTGTTTTATAATTAGAGGGTATTATCATACTAATGAAGTATGAATATCATTTAACAGTGAAAACGAACATATTTTGTGTTGTTTAGGAGAGATTAAGGTGGAAGTGGGTTTTGCTGGTGGAACAAATTACCTACAGATCAAGCCAAATTTGACTCGAGGCATTTTCGGAGATAGTCAAAATGAATAATTTATGTGGAAGGACAGAAACCTGCTTATTGCTGTGCTCAGTCAAAATGAGAAGGGAAAAAAACACAACCACTAGATGATTCAAGGTGGCACAAAATTGGGTTTTTAATTAAACGCTTGATTACCTCCTATTAATTGGACTTCAGTTAAAATAAATTCCTGGGACTAATGTTTTAACCTCCCCGAAAGTGGGGTTCCCTTGCAAATGATCTAGAATAAAACCACTTCATTCATACTGTATGCATGCATCTCTACTTAACCTTTATGTCACAGTGGAAAATGGTTTTGTTTATAAAAAGAGAAGCAGTTGATCAGTAAGCTGATATGAACAACATATTCAAACTCTATAAAACATCAAATAATGTTTAAATATCAGAGTAATTACAGTTAGATCACTTGTTATATCTGAAAATAGATTGAGCTCTTGTCTGATCTACATTAAATGTCACTGGTATATGGTATGTTAAATCTTTGTCTTAAGTCATACTGTTTATTTGCTAAAGAGTTGAACTAAACTAGGAACAAGCGACAATGTCATTTTTGAGAGCGTATTATCCTAAAAGAAAATTTAATCAACTGACATTAGTACTAACACTAGTACACTAGCATTTAAAGCAGCACTATGCAGTTTTTTTTACCTTAACTGAATAGCTTTGGAGTTATTGCAATGGTTAAATTACTATTTTCGGGTTGAATGTTGGGCGTCTCGCCGCCCCCATTGCCTGTAAGTGGAAAAAACACACTTGCAACTTTGAGGCTCCGGCCGCAGCATCAGGAAGTGTCGCTTGAAATCAGGTCTCGCGATGTAACGATTACGGCAAGAAAGATCTGCTAAAATGAGCATCAAACAGAAATAACCCGGCACCCATTTCAATTCAATTGGATCTTTACAATATAATACAGGAACCTCATAGTTGAATTCCTCTTTGTAACTTTATAAGTTGAATATAGCACAAAGATACACACCACCAATCACCATTCACATCAACTGCAGCTTATAAGATCAGTCTGAGATGTTTTTATGTGCGAGTATCTAATACAAAAACCGACTGTTTCCACTGAGACAGAGCTGATATTTGTGTGTGAATGTTTGTTTTTGTGAATCAAAAAAATTGCTGGTTCTTACAGAAGCCCGGAACCGCTACATAAAAAAATCAAATAAATAATAATAATAATATCTAGCATTTCTAGATTAAGTCGAGACACTACAGGTGAATAGGGTAATTTTAGTAGCAGATATCAACATGAAACTTTCCCAGTTGATTACCTACATTAAGATGAGAAAAAAATATATTACAAGTTTTGTGTAATCTAATGTTTAAAAATGCAAATGAGGCATTATCTACTTAAATATGCAGGAGAAAGAAATCTTTCTAAACATGTGTGTAATGACAGGGTGCAGATCGCGATCGCTGAGCAGCAGGATGATTTATAACGACAACTTTTGAAGAATTTATGAGAAATCTACAGACGCAAAAAGACAAAGTGTAGTAAAATAAACACCTAAATGTGTATTTCGGACTTTTTTTCACCACAAGTCTGAAAGAAGACATGTTATTGAAGACAAATATCCCAAAATCTCAAAATTGACCAGTGAAAAAAAAAACAAACAAACAAAAAAACTATATTTTTGCCTGCCGTGTCTCGCCTTAAAGTGGGAATTATACTTTCGTAAAGTTTCTACTTTAATCTAGAAATTTTTCGACTTTATTCTCAAAATATTTTGACTTAAATCTCAAAATATTTTGAGATTACAGATTTCGAGATTAAGGTCGAAAAATTTCGAGATTAAGGTCGAAAAATTTCGAGATTAAAGTCGAAACATTTTGAGATTACAGTCTTCTAGACTTTAGCCAATAGGAAAACCAACCCGGAAAACACTTTTCAGACTAGATGGAGATATCCAGCTTTATGAATGAATAAATGAATGAATGAGGCCTACACTCAAAGTGCGTTACAATCATATCAGCGAATCTCTCCTCAACCACCATTAGTGGTTATTAAATCTGAGGAAATCACGTGATCCGACCAAATGATTGGATACAGAATGATACACTTAAAATGTATCCAGAACGGTGAAGATGTAGGCCGAACGGTTACTGTTGTGATCTCGACCCAGATAGTGTTGCCAGACGAACACAAAAACACTGCCACATAAAGGACCAGATTGTGATACCTACTCCAGCGGAGTCTGTGAGATTGTCTGTAAGCAACGCTTTTTGTTGGTAGATTAGCACCTGTGTTGAATTTTGTTGAAAGCCTAGATAAAAGTTAAAAGCTTCTATTTTCGTGTTGATCCATGGCAGTTCGACTTCACAAGTGCATTTCTTGGTAACACTTTATAATAACTACACGCTAATAATCATTAGTTAAGCATGAGTAAACCATTAATTGATCATTCATAAAGCATTAATAGACATTAATAAGCAGTTCATAAATACAGCTATAAATGCTTTCTTCTTGATTTAAAAGCATATCTATAATTTGTTTAATAATTGTATTTTCATACTTTATTAATGATCAATTTATCATTTCTAAATGAAGAATTGCATTTTTTTATGAACCAGTTATTTAAGAGTTTTCAGTGGTTCATACGATTACTTAGAGCGAGTAAGTAAATGATTAATAAACTATTTAAATGCACATTCATGCATCTTATTATTCAGACATATAGTGATGGTTACTTAATGTGTTAATAAATGCTTTATTAACATTTATTAATGCTGTAATTAAGGGTTAATTTGGGTAGTTATAAAGCATTTAGTAGTGGTCAGTTAACTATGTTCGTGTCAGCTCATCTAAAGTGAGGACTAGTCATGCCTTGTAAAGCATTTTTAAAGGCTGTTAAATATTTCCATGTTCGGTAACACTTTATAATAACTGCACGCTATTAATCATTAGTTAAGCATGAGTAAACAGTTAATACATCATTTATAAAACATTAATAGACATTAATATGCAGTTTATAAATATAGCTATACATGCTTTTTTCTTGATTTATAAGCATATCTATAATGCGTTTAATGATTGTATTTTCATACTTTGTTAATGATCAATTAATAATTTCTAAATGAAGTATAACATTATTTGCAAACCAGTTGTTTAAAAGTTGTCATTCATTCATAAGATCACTTAGAAAGTGTAAGTAAATGTAGTAAATGCAGGTAGTTATAAAGCATTTAGTAGTGGTCAGTTAACTATTTTTGTGACCTAATCTAAAGTGAGGACTATTCATGCTTTGTAAAGCAGTTATAAAGGCGATTTAAAGACTCGTCAATCTTCTAAACAGTAAAATGTAACAAACACAACGCAGTGATACAGAACATAGAAATATTTAACAGCCTTTAAAAATGCTTTACAAGGCATGACTAGTCCTCACTTTAGATTAGGTCACAAAAATAGTTAACTGACCACTACTAAATGCTTTATAACTACCCAAATTAATCCTTAATTACAGCATTAATACATGTTAATAAAGCATTTATTAACACATTAAGTAACCATCACTATATGTCTGAATGATAAGCTGTATGAATGTACATTTAAATAGTTTATTAATCATTTACTTACTCGCTCTAAGTAATCGTATGAACCACGGACAACTCTTAAATAACTGGTTTATAAAAAATGCAATTCTTCATTTAGAAATGATAAATTGGTCATTAATAAAGGATGAAAATACAATTATTAAACAAATTATAGATATGCTTTTAAATCAAGAAGAAAGCATTTATAGCTGTATTTATGAACTGCTTATTAATGTCTATTAATGCTTTATGAATGATGAAGTAATGGTTTACTCATGCTTAACTAATGATTATTAGCGTGTAGTTATTATAAAGTGTTACCCATTTCTTTACACATGCTGTACATACACACACGCGCTCTGAGTTATGCGCTCTGTTATGAATGCACACATTTCTATGAAAGACTGTATTATCGTAATGTTTTGACTTTATTCTCAAAAATGTTTCGACTTTAATCTCGAAGTGTTTCGACTGTAATCTCAAAATGTTTTGACTTTAATCTCGAAATGCTAGATTTTATTATTATTATTTTACAGATTTTTTTTTTTTGTGTGTGTTGCGGTTCAGGTCTCCCGAGTTTCCACTGAGACAGTACTGGCGGTTTATTGAGTTGATGATTTATGTGCTTGCTGCTGCCCTTTCCTCATCCAGCACTAAGAATGCAAAGCACAGGTAGGTCACAGCTTTTTTTTTTTATCGCAATGTATTCGTGTGTGTGTGTGTGTGTGTGTGTGTGTGTACATACCCTCTGCTGAAATTCTGATGCAACATTGTGCCTCAGGCAGTCAGGACTATGTTCTCAAATCTAGGCTGGTCATCGCCGGCACCTTGCTAGACATCTTACAAGATAACTGCTTTGACACTCTGCATGTGCAGGGGTGAATGTGGCCTCGTATGTCCATTCGCATAAGTGTATTTATAGAGACTGTATACCATGTTATGAAAGTTTTTCTGTTTCAATGCTCGTGTACACTAGATGCATGTCCTGGCTATGTACAGATATTGTGTATTTCTGTCTAGTTTCTGTAAAACAATCCCCATATTACATATTTTAAGAATATGAATTTGCATCTATTGTTCTTAACAGTAGAAATGGAAGCAAAGAAAGCCTTACCCTTGTTATATAATATAATATTATATATATTATATTGCAATTAATTGAGAGGCTATATGCAGTGGCGTAGCCAGGGGAGGGGCCATGGGGGCACTGGCCCCTCCTGAAAACTGATTGGCCCCCCAGTGTGCCCCCACCCTTCTAATTGCCTGTCACTCAAAAATTCAAATCATAATCTTTCAGCTTGTAGTAGAATAATTCATGATTCCGCGTCGCGCGATGCTTCTCAAAACCACACGGTAAGTTGATATATTTTATACAGCTTATTATTTTTTAAGGAAAGACGATGTGTATTCACCCTGCTGAGGGGAATGTGATAAAGCCTGGAGTGAAGCGAAAGCACGTTCCTCTCTCCACTCTAAGCATTCTGTAATCGTTTATGGTCCACTCCGGTTTTTCAATTCCCGCTCACGGAAAAACTGCTCCATGTTCACTCAATTAATCTTAGATTTTGAGAAGTGCATGTCAGGCTACAGGTCGTTTGCTGCGGTCCCATAATAGAAAACAGAACGCGGGTCAATATTGGTCGTTTCTCAATACCAAGTACGCAAACTTCGGAGAACGAACTCCCGAGGATGAGAGGAGGCGAGTCCGGTTTTTCTGCGAGTCCGGTTTTTCTGATTGCGTCACTCAGCACGCGGCTACTCTGGTTACTTCTTTATAGGCAATTAAACGAAATATGGTGTAAAATACAACTTTGCCACTTTTCATCAACAATAAAACGAAATAGATATAAAACACCACTCTGCCTCATTTCATTTATACATTAACATATTATCATAAACCTATTAATGGCCACAAAAATGTGGTTCAGGTAACGTTAACGCACATTGACTATCTTCACTGCATATATTTATAGCAACACGAAATATAAAACACAACCCTGCTTCTTTTTGTTTTCATTTTAAAAATGTGAAACATTATTGATCATTAAAACTGACATTTAACTTTTGTAAAGTGAAAAGTTAATATAAATTGTATTTTATTGTTTTGATTTAGAGCAGTAAATAACTGCTATTAAAAGATAACAGGGTATCACTGTTTATTGCTGATTTTAAAGCTTACTGAACTTGAAATGATTTGGATATCTACAGTTCTACATAAATGCATAACATAATAATGGCCCCTCTGTAATAATTGTGGCCCCTCTTGTGCCCCCCAGTTGAAAAAATCCTAGAATCGCCCCTGGCTATATGGAATATTTGTGACCATTTACAGCACTTTGCCTTATATCAAAGGATATACAAAGACAGGGCACTCACATTACTATGAATGGAGGAAAGTGCAATGCACAATATGGCAGAATAAGTACTGCCTTCTAAAAGAAAGAGCCAATCGCCAATTGGCCTAAAGTCATTGCTTCACTGCAGTTACCTTCAGAAAGTTTTTGTTGAAGGACTGCACTTTGGCTCGTCCAACCTGAACATTTTTTTTTTTGTCATGTTTTGAGTGTAGAAACACCATTTATGAGACCACTTTTGTCAGATTTCATTGGTGATTTCAAATACGAAATGTAATCGTAAGCTTGGTGAACAGCTTTGGAGAACAGCTCTCTTCTTTCAAAGAGATAGGAGCTGGTCTTGCACGTTTGAAATAGCTGCCCTAGTGTTTAAAAGTGAAATCTTTGAATGTACTACGATTTTTTGGTTTCACTTTACAGTATTTTGATGGTCCCTTTAACAGGATGCAATAAACATTTTTACATTTTTATAAAACGTTTCCATTAAAAATGCTGTTATTTCTATTCATGAAAGAATCCTGAGGGAAAACTGTATCACAGTTTCCACAAAAATATTAAGCAGCACAGCTGTCTACTTACTCTCATTAGAGTGTTAGAGTATTAGTAGACTGTTGGGTTAGAATAAGTTGACATGTAGTTGCAAAGTTACTTATAGTCTACAAAATGTTCAAAGGAACCATGAAAATAAAGTGTTACCCCTATAATAATTAGAAATGTTTTAGTGCCAAATCAACATATTAGAATGATTTCTGAAGGATCATGTGACACTGAAGACAGGAAGAATGATGCTGAAAATTCAGCTTTGCCATCACAGGAATAAATTACATTTTATAATATATTCAAACAGTTATTTTAATCTGATTTTGCAAATATATGCAGTCATGAGGGCTGTTTACTCCTGGCGAGACGGATTTGTATCCGATCGCTCAAACCACATCATGAGGTGGTCTGGGCCGCATTCCAGAAGAAACTGGAAAAGTGTAAATGCTTCTGGTTGTTGAAACCACATATTAAAATTTTACTCCTCCCAAAAATGTTAAAAAATAAATGAGTGAGAGCGTGTTATATAGGGTACATGTCATGTTATATTCAGATATGGCGACGCTACTGCAACAAGCATTACCGCAGATGAGCAGCTGAGCGTCTATTCATCAAGCTAAAGTACAAATCAAAGTGAAAGTAAGTCGCAGACGCTTAACCTGTTAACTGTCACCCCCCCTTTTTTGAATAGACATGAAAATGCACATTTCGAACTTAAATGGTTGTAATTCAAGAATGCTTTGGAATATAGATATATGATTGGTCTTGTTTTAAAGAAGACATTTGGCAGATTTTTGTAGAAGTGAAATAAATTAAGAAAGTGAAACAGAAAAAAAGTTATAGAAGTTTGAGTTTATGGAAATGTACAATGTAAAAATATTAATTATTCATATTTTACATAAAATATATATTTTCAAAACCTGGGCTACTCTAAAATGGCAGAAAGATCAAAGCCAAAAATCTGAACAAGTTGTGTTTCAAATTTTAGGTTGATATCTCAAAAAATGAGCTTTCAGTAAGATTTTGTTTGAGCGCAGTACCAAACGTTTTCACTAGGGCACAATCAGACTCCATTACTGCCCATATAAGGGCGCCTGCATTTCCATTCATGTTTTGAGTGATATGAACCATTATTTTCACAATTTTCATACAATTTCTGAAGTAGAGATCCTATTCAGAAGTAGCATGGGAAGTTTGGCAGATTTTGATATGAATTGAACCTCTAAGAAACACATACAAAGAACACGCATGTAAGTCATAGCTAGCTGCCACGTCACAAATGGTGAATTTATTATTTTTTTTCTTGATATTTCAAACTTTTCAGACCTTTTTTTTCCAAAATAATTGAATGGATTCTATCTTTTGAACTTTTGGCATGAAAACAAACTGAGGTATCTACCCTTTTTTCATGATTTTTCATGTTTACTGCTATTTTAAAATAAAGGTCTGAACACGCCTTATGAGTATGAAAATATTCTTGTTTTATATTGATAAATTATGGCTCCTCTGTAATATATTTTGAAAATCAGTCACCAAATATGGAAACTAGAGATTGTAAGCTTTCAAATGATATATAGTTTGTCAATATTATTTAAGGTATTTACTAAGATATTATTGGTTTAAAAATTTAGTGGCAAACGTCCCACCTGAGTAGTTCACTTTTTAAAAGACTTTTGCTGATAATTTATTCACCCCCATGTCATCCAAGATGTCCATGTCTTTCTTTCTTCAGTCGAAAATAAATTAAGGTTTTTGATGAAAACATTCCAGGATTTTTCTCCATATAATGGTAACCAAACGGTCCAAAGTCCAAAAGACAGTTTCAGTGCAAACTGCAAACTGTGGAAAGGGCTTTAAACGATACCAGACGATGAATAAGGGTCTTATCAAACGAAACGATCGGTCATTTTAAAAAAAAAAGTTTAAGTTTTATAAGCTCAAATGCTTGCCTTGCTCTGTTCTGTGTGACTCTCTTGTTCGAACTAGTTCATCAAAATTAACAAATCTTTTTCCGAGTCAATTCGTTCATTTTGGTCGTTGAATGAACCAAATGAAAACTTAAACTTATAAAACTTAAACTTTGTTATTTTTTTTTTTTAATGACTGATCGTTTCACTTGATAAGATCCTTATTCATCGTCTGGAATCGTTTAAAGCCCTTTGAACTGTTTGCAGTTTGCACTGAAACTGTCTTTTGGACCTTGAACTGTTTGGTTACCAGTAAAGCGCATTATATGGAGAAAAATCCAGGAATGTTTTCATCAAAAACCTTAATTTCTTTTTGACTGAAGAAAGAATGACATGGATATCTAGGATGACATGGTGATGAGTAAATTGTCAGCAAACGTCTTTTTAAAACTACTTTAACACACAATATTAAAAATTAAAAGTAAAGAAACAAAATGATCTTACCAGGGATGTTGCCGCTCTCTGACCCCATTTACACCTGGTACTAAAATGCGATCTGTATCCAGATAAGTTATCCGGATAACTCTCTTTGATTTTGAAATGAGCTGATGATCAATAAAATGCAGCTCATATCTGTTGCTTTCGGTGATGTGCACTCCATTAAATCTGCATATAGCACGGGAATTAAAGATTGGATTTATATCTGTTTTGCAAAACCACATTTATGTGACCAGGTGTAAATGGAATCATGATAAATCATTTGATAAATCAGATAGCTATCCGATCTGAGAAAACGCATGAAGTGGCCATGTGTAAACAGCCCCTTGTTGAACACAAGACAACGTCTGCCCCCTTTTATCTCCTCTGTTCC